GTCAAAGAGATCGATGACCCTCTGTAAGGGTCAGACCACTAGTCCACACCCTGCAATCAGTGGAGATTAGAGCTAAGAGTCTGGGTCTCCCTTGGGTTCTGGAATATCTTATGGAATTCTCCCCTTGAGGATGCTCACCAACCCCCGCCCTCCTCCCCCGAGAGGTGGGTAGAGAAGCCATAGGGTTTCTGTGTGCTCAGAACCTAGGCTGGGCTCAAGTGAATGGCCTGCAGAGTCAGTTCCAAATCCCCCACTGGAGTTCCCTGGGCCATTGGTTTTGTGTGATGGCTAAATCATGATGTAATTCTACTCTAGTGGCTCTATGGCCCACTGTCTTCTACTGTGTTCAGCTTTGGGGGATCCTGGGTGCTTGATGTGAGCTCCTGTCCAAGGCCAAAGAGTGAGGATACCGGAGTTTTTATATTGACCCTCCATGCTGGATGCAGAGAATGTGAGTTAAATGGGGCCTCTGAGTTCATCTAGCCCCATTCCTTCATGTGACGCATGGGGAAGCTGAGGCTGGAGTGGTAAAGTGACTTACTCAAGGACACGCAAACTGATGACTGAGCAATTAGGATCAGAGTGCAGCTCTTTCCACCACCCAATACTGCCACCCCTCCTCTCAGTACCCACAACCTAACTGGTGCCCTGTCTCGTCAGATGACTTAGGTAGAATCATGACTGCTTAACAACACTGAAGTGTGACAGACCTGTGTTCAAACTTCAGCTTGGTCATTTACTGGTTGTGAGACCCTAGACAAACCATTTCAACTCCAAGCCCCAGTTTCCCAATCTGTAAACTGGGGATAATCAGACCTATATCCTGGGCTTACTGTAAGGACTGGATTAGAAATGTGTTACAGCTTTTGGCATAGGGCCTAAGGCATACTAAGCCCTAAGTAGATGGTAATTATGATTGAGGCTTCCCCTCCTCCCCTTCCTTCAAAATTCCCTAACACATCGGTCCTCTTGACCTGTCAAAACATACTTGTCCTGGAATCTACAGAGGCAAGACCTTGCTAGGTGACTGACTAGCTGATTAGCACTCAGGGCCTATGGGCTTGCTTATTGTGCTGTATCTTTCACCAGAGTGTGGGTTTGAGGAGCACTCACATCAGCCTTGTTTGCTAGTGCCCGCCCCAGAGTCCGACATAGGGTAGATACCGAAAGAATGTTTATCAATTGAACGCATATTTAAGTAGTGGCCTTCGGTGTCCTAGGAGGCTGAATAATGGCCCCCAAAGATGTCAAGTCCAAATCCCTAGAGCCTGTAGGTGTTGCCTCATAAAAGAAAACAGTCTTTGCAGACATGATTAAGTTAAAGATCTTGAAATGGGGAGATTATCCTGAATTATCTAGTCGGCCCTGAAGGCACTCACTCAAGTGTATCCTCACAAGAGGAGAAGAGGGAAAACTGACTCTACAGAGGAAAAGGCTATGTGAAGACAGCAAAGAGAAATTTCAAGATGCTGTCCTTTAAGTGATGGCATGATGTGCCCACCAGCTAAGCGATGCTGGCAGCCGTCAGAATCTGGATTCTCTCATAGAGTCCCTGGAGAGAGCATGAGCCCACCAATGCCTTGATTTTGGACTTCTGGTCTCCGGAACTGTGAGAAAAATTAATTTCTGTTGTTTTAAGCCACCAAGTTTGTGATGATTTGTTACATCAGCCATAGGAAACTAATGCAAATGTTTTTAGCCAAAGATGTTAGTGACGTGGGAATTTTAGGGATCAGAAAGTTACATTTTTTTAAAGGGTGGAACCAAGGAAGCTCAATATTCTCCAATTCTGTTTCCATTATTTCTCTGTAAATAGTGTTCTCGCTCTGTGAAGCCACTGACAAAGCCTGATGGTGTGGACAAGAGAAGAATCCAGGAGGAATGGGTGGTGAAAGTGGGTTCTTCTCTTGCATCTAAGGGAAGAGAAAGAACAGATGACTTGGTGGGGAGGAGGGAGCACAATATTTAAGAAAGCTGAGCTGTGTAGATTCATTCATTTATTCAACAGGTATTTATTGAGTGCCTCCTATGTGCCAGGTGCTGTTCTAGGCACTGAGGGTGCAGCAGTGAATAATATGGAGGGGGGGAATCCCTGGTTACATGGGGCTTACATCCTAGTTGGAGGAGACATACACACACAAACAAAATGAATGCCCACCTCCAATGGCGATGCTCAGATGAGCAACCTGGACAGTGGCAGTGCTCCCTGTGACATTTACTTCTCACTCCAAAAGCTTTATTCACTGACAATCTGTAAGCAATTTTCCACCCATGGTCATCAGTCTCTCCAAGTGGCTCTGTTTTCCAAAACACTGCCTGCCCACCAGGGCTCTGAAGGCATCCTCCAGGACATAAACACTGCACTCTTCTCTCTTTTTCTCTCTTGCTTTGTCTTTCTTGCTTCTCTGTCTCTTACCCTGCCCCATGAAGAATTGCTATTTGTAAACTTGTTCCTAGGACCTGTGATGAAATTAGGGGAAATGGAGGCAAAGAAAACACAGCCTTAACTTTTAAAAGAATCCCTTCTAAGAGAACCTGGGTAGCTCAGTCAGTTAAGTGTCAGATCTTGATTTTGGCTCAGGTCATGATTTCATGGTTCATGGGTTTGAGCTCTGCACCAAGGCCCTGCTTGGGATTCTCCCTCTCCCTCTCTCTCTCTCTCTCTCTCTCTCTCTCTCTCTCTCTCTCTTTCTCTCTGCCCCTCTCACACACTCACACTCTCTCTCAAAATAAATAGGTAAACTTTTTTAAAAAAATAAAAGAATCCCTCATAAATTGAGGGGCAGAAACAAGAAGACTTTTGGATTAAAGTAGCTCTTTCCCAACTGGCATTTCAGAGTTTGTGATACATTTGTTACAGCAGAAGCCACTAGAAAAGGGGTCCAGAAAGAGGGGCTCTGGTTTTGTGTTTCAGATCAGTTTCTAGGAACTGATCTGAAAAATGTGAAGGAGAGAAGGTGCTCAATGTGAGAACCAAGATGAAGAAGTGACAGGAAGGCAGAGCCCATCCAGTTCGTTGAGAATGAACTTTCTGGTTGTCATAGCAGTCCAATAATGGAGTGGGCTTCCCAGACAGGAGGAAAGACACATGTTCACCATCACTGGAAGAGTACAAACATGGCTGAATGACCACTTGGGGAATGTTGGAGCAGGCAGTCAAGTTTCTGAAGGGGTTGAACTAAATGACTTTAAGATCTCCTCCAGCCTCGAGACTCTATGATTTTACCAAACATCCCAGAGAACAAGAATATAATTTTTAAACTGAATGCAATATACTTGAAATTTTATGTGCCAAACAAGATAGCATGAAAATATAGTAAAAAATGGACAGAAACTGTAGAGGCAGGAGACTTTACCACATCTTTCTTTGTATGAAAGCAAATGAGAAAAAAAAAAACAAAACCTAACTGAGGAAATCTCTATAAGTTCCTAAAGGCAAAAACAAAACAGAGTACACTTTGTGTTCATAATGTAGTAAACTGACAGATAAATAACATAATAAAACAATAAGCAGCATTATTTTTTGTGTGCCCAGTTGAGCCACATAACTATGCATAACTATGTCTCCCTGCTTTGGGATTCCAGAAGCCATAGAGTACAATTTGACCCCACCTCCCTGGCTTTGACTGACTGATCGATGATTGGACACTTGAGCCAGATGGGCTAGAATTCCTTCCCTGGGAATTTGGAATCAAGACACAGAGAGAGGAATATCTTCTCTCAGATGGATGGATGTTCAGTACACAAAATTGAGAACCATCAGTGATCACCATCTGCCATATGAACTGAAGACAGAAGAAATATGTTGGGGAAGAGAGAGAGAGAGAGAGAGAGAGAGAGAGAGAATGATATATATACATAGGAGGGAACAGAGATTAGATCCTGAGGGAGGCTCCTGATGACTTCCCAGTCACTGATATGTGACTGTGTAAGAGTCTCCCCTTAACTCTTGCCCTTGAAGTTCACAAAGCTCTTATCTCCTTATCTCCTCTTTTACTTGTCAGATGGAGATATTTTCCTTATAATCAGAGAGTTCTAACTCATAAAAACAAACAAGCAAATGAACAAAAAGAACACACTTCAAACCACTTGAAAATTTCAACACTGTCTTCTAAACAACTCTTGCTTCAATAGTGAAATAAATACTGAAGCTTTAGAATATTTACACAGTCATTACAATGAAAACTGTACAAACAGCAAACTCAAGGCTATAGCTAAAGCTACACGAAGAGGAAAATTCATAGCTTCAACAACATACAGTACAAATAGCCTGGTTAAAATCCCTTTTCTACCATCCACTAGCTTCATAATCTTGTTCAAAGTTACCACTTCGTGCCTCAGTTTTCCACATCTGAAAATGGATGTAATAACAGTACTTATCTCATAAGGTCCTATTATGAGAATTAATTTATACAAGGAATATATTTAGAACAGTGCTTAGCACATAATATTATTAATTCTGGACATTTATTCAAATAATAATAACAATAATAAAACAATAAGTAATGTATAATGAAGCATGCATACTGAAGCCATCTTTAGGGATGGGCAGCACTGGGCAGCCTCAAGGGCATTTTAGTGTTCTCATGTTCCCCTATAGAATAAAGGCAGTGCAACCCCAGTACATGGCTGGCTTCTCCTGTCTTCACAGATAGAGCTGTTCCTGGCTTGGGCTGAGGGCAGGATATGGAACCAGGTTGCCATCTGAACATCTCAGCACCAGTGTAGGAGAGATGAACACGAGGCTGTCTTGGTGTGGTGACTCTGTCCTCCCTTGACTGAGGGGTTCATGGGGCAGGAGAAGGGTTTCTGGGCTCCCGGTGATTTTTGATGCTGGAGGTCACAGAAGGGGGACCACTGGACCTGAAAATACACCCTCCTGACTCCCACTCACCACTGATATCCCAAATTCCATGATCAGAAAGCAGATCATTCATTGCTGACTTCTGGCTCAGCCAGGCTGCGTTCTTATCTTAACATCCACTTCCTTATCTTTGCAGGTGGGAGATGGAGTGACCACCAACAACATGCATTCCTAAGGTGGTCTGATGGAGTGTGGGGCTCCAGCGAGGAAGTGGAGCCCTGGGCAGGAGGCATCTCATCATGGAGACAGTCTGTTATCTGGTAAGAACAGGGTGCTGGAGAGAATGCCTTGATCTTGCCTGGGCTGCTTGAAGGTCCGTCCAGGTTCCTGTGTTTTGTCCGTCAAGCCGGTATTTGAGGCAATGTGTCCCCATTGTCCTGTGGAGGCTCTTCCTCCTACATGAGTCAGATGTGCTGTGCTCCAAAGAGCTTTTGAATCCAGTTACACTTATGAGGACAGTTCGCCATGGCTGGACCCCGGGCGTTTAATTCCTTGTGGGTCTCACAGTGGCCATCTGGAGAGCCTGCTGCCCTATGCTTGGTGCTATAAACTACCTCAGTCCTAACAAATACTGATCAATAGCATATTCAGAGTAGACAAATTCGTCATTTACTGATCATCTACTGAGTGCTAGGCACTGGGGACAGCAGGGCACAGGGGAGAGCAGGGCAAAGTCCCTGCCTTCATGGGGTTCACATTTCTACCGAGAGGCAGACAAAAATAAGAGAACAAGTATGAATGTTTCAGAGAGATAGTTGGTGCTCTAAAACATAAAGCATGGTGGGAGCCATAGAAAGTGACAGGAAAGATGAGACAATACCAGGAAGATGGGGACATCTGGGCAGAGATCTGAACAATGAGGGAGCTACTGAAAGACCCGAGAAGGAAGTTTGGTCTGAGGGGACAGCCAATGTAAAGGCCCTGGGACAGGAACTGACCTTGCACAACAGTGAGAACAGCGAGCAAGGGGCAGGACGGGAGGAGATAGGGTCTGACCCTGATGGAACAGATCCAACAGAACTTGACTTCTGTAGCATGAGGAATGGAATGTGATTGCCTCACTCAATTTATGCACTCCTTAAGTCAAGACTATAAACCCAGTGAACCAGTTTCACCACACAGCATTCTAGGATGAGCACTGGACTGAGAGTCAAGAGATTGCAAGTTAGTCTGCTCAGCAACTCATTTGCTGTGGGACCTCAGGCAGATCCCTTAACCTCTCTGTGCCTTCATTCTTCACCTATAAGATTAAAAAAGTAGAGGCCCCTTCAGCTCCATATCCTTGGAGTTTACAACAAGTCAGTATATTTCAGATGCAGAAAACTAGGTGGTTATTTGAGAAAGCAGTGAAGGAGGAAGAAGAGAAGGGAGAGGAAAATGAGGAGGAGGCAGAGTCCCTTCCAGACTCTACGTTCTTTGCCTCTGTAAACAGTCAGCAGAACGGGAGCACACGAAGAGTGTTGCCAATGCCCTGGAGGCGAGATCGCATGGGAAAGACGTGAGGGTGCGCTCTGTCCCTGACCATGGTGCCACACGACAGCACCAACAAGTCATTTGAGAAACTAGTGGGGTTGTTCTGGGAGCCTCCAGGAATAAATAAAAGAAATTATAAGAAGAGTCAACCGGGAGAAACTCGAACATGCTCACGGAGGGATATGCTGGAGTTTCATGTCCTTCAGGGCTTGGGATATTTTTGCCAAGTGGTGAAGAGTAGGGAGAAGAAAATGTGCAGGTAGAGGGGCTCTTCTGAGAGACGAAGGCTCCAGGGAAGGCCCGGCTGGTGGAAGGGGCCCCAAGATGATGATTGCCAGGGTTTTTCCCTGGGAGGTATGTGGGGCAGGCCCAGGCCGGCGTCCCTGAGCAGGTGATCCTGAAGGTGTCTTCTCCTAAAACTGAAATGCTCTCTAGTGCATGGCGGGGAGAGAAACTTTCCATGAGGCGTAGAGCATAGGTAAGAACCGTTCTTTGGAGTCAAAAACACCCAAGTCTGAATCCTAGCTCACCTGTGTGACCTTGGGCAAGTCCCTTAATGTCTCTATGCTTAAAAAAAAAAAAAAAAAAAGGATGCTACTGACATCTACATCATGGGGTTGGTGCAGAGATTATGTTAATGTTAAGTAGGGGGTAAAAAAAAAAAATAATAATACTGCCCTTTCCCACCAGGGCCTGAACCAATTCCTGAAATAAATAGGAGTCCTCATATGGAGGCCCCACATCACCATTATTATTGATAAAGGTCATAACATGTGACTCGTATTGATAGGATTTCCTGATACTGAGCCCCAGAACTGACAGACCTACCTGGCCCCCAGCAGCCCTGAACCTGCACCCCAGGAACACTCCCGGGGACGGGGAGCCCAAGGGTTAGTTCCCCCAAAGAGGCTGGTAGGCAGAGGTTCTGCTGCATGTACTCAGTTCTTCCTCCCAACTCACCAATCAGATGAGTCGCTCCCTAAAGGAGAGAGAGAGAGAGAGACCCAGGGGTGTTTCAGCGGGTAGACCTCACTCCCTGTGGAAGAAACCTCAACAGTAGGGAATGACCTAAACACAAAATCAGGAGATCTATGTGACATGGTTGGCACAAGAACCGGGATCTGGTAAATGCGCAGTAAATTGCCACTTTATTTTATTTTATTTTGTTTTTTTTTTTAATGTTTATTTATTTTTGAGACAGAGGGAGACAGAGCATGAACGGGGGAGGGTCAGAGAGAGGGAGACACAGAATCTGAAACAGGCTCCAGGCTCTGAGCTGTCAGCACAGAGCCCGACGCGGGGCTCGAACTCACGGACCGCGAGATCACGACCTGAGCCAAAGTCGGCTACTTAACAGACTGAGCCACCCAGGCGCCCCTTAAATTGCCACTTTAAACAGTGTCTTCAGCCTGGCATGGTTTGCTCATTCTTCCATGCCAGTATTTATCAAGCGTGGTCTATGGGCAGTGTTTTATGCCCACTGCTAGGGAGGACACGAGAAACAAGTCCACCCTGAGCCCTCCACCCCTCTGCCCATTCTGCTGCTGCTATCACTATTTCTTACTCCTAGCTAAGGTTTACGAATTGGGTATTCCACATCGGAAACTCTCGTGGGCTCCTGATGTGCACCATCTCACGTAATTCTCAAAACTCTTAAACGCTTGTTATTACACATCACCTCTGTAGTTGTGGAATCTGGGACAAATGGGTGAAGGCCTTGCTCAGGGAGGCCTAGTGGGCGAGTGCTGGGTGAGACCAAAGCTCCTGATGGTTATGTAGCAAGACACATCGATGTGGGACGACCAGGTCTGTCCCTCAGCCGTTGCCCTGGGTGGTGCATCACACATCACAGGCAACCAGGGCTGAGAGGTCCCCAGGGAGGGCTTTGGCGTGACGGTGGCCTTGCCATCAACCTTTGAGAAAAGCAGATGAGGTGGCCAACGTGTATGTCTTCAGGACATTTCCCAAGCCGTTTGGGCATGACTTTGCTTCCCCGAAAGGGACATAAACTTGGAAGGAATAGAATCGTCCTGAGGAGGGAATGAAAGTGAATTCAAGCTGATTCAAGGGGCAGGGGACCAGCTTCAAAACCAGCCCTTCCATAATGAGGCCGCCTGCTGGGAGCTCACGGAGATCTGCTGGGCTCCGGATGGCATCGTTGTTTGGCTGTCCCTTTAGCCAGAGCTTTGGCTCTTTTCTCGAGGGCAGGGCTGCTCGACTCCCTGAAGCTTCGCCTCGGCCAGCCTCTAGCACTGCTGTGCTCACGAGGCGCGATTTGGCCAGTACAGCTCTGCAGTTCATATGGGCGCACTGGACCTCTCCCCAACACAGCCCCTCAGCTGCCTGGGGCCTGACGCATCTCTCACGGTTGCCCCACAAGGCCCCCTCTTCTCCTTGGCTCGGGGGTGGGTGGTGGGGGTTCCCAGTCCTAAAGGGGAAATGGTAGTGTGTACATTGTCCAGGAAGAAGTTGTTTTCAGTTTATGAGGCTTAATGGACTGCCCTCCCCACCCAATTTTAATAATGTTGCTAATGCGCCAGAGAGAGGAACTAACGAATTCACCGTTCACAGTTAGTAAAAGTTGCAGGACCTCTGTGTGAAGACACACAGGCTTTCATGATAGGAGCTTTAGGTTGAAAAAACATATAAACCAACAAGGGCACGGAGGAAAGAGGATCAACATTTAACTGTTTAGTGTGTGTCTTAAATGGGGTCTCCCAAGAAGCAACCCCGAGACAAGGTCTGGAAGCAAATGGTTTAGTTGGAAGGGGATCCCAGGCAGCATGAGAAGGAGGGGGGCAGTGACACAGAGGAGCAAAGGAAGCTGGTTACCACCCAAGGACACTGGAGGTTCGTCCTACTGGAGAGTTCTGCAAACAGTGCGGCTCACAAGCCTCTTAAACCCCAGCCTCCACCAGCCTCGGTGGAGGGCGTGGCATGCCTCAAGCTTGCCTTGTCCTGGGAGGCCACAGCAAGCGTTCACAGCCACAGAAGCTCTTGGAAAAAGATGCAGATGCCTTTAGGTAGATGTGAGGTCAGCCTGCTCAGAAATGGTACACAGCCCAAGGGTACAGCTGGGGCTCTGACAAGGTCTGCTGCACCGTGGGAGCTGATGCCTTCCAGACGACATGTCATTCATTATAACCTGATAATGCCGGTGGTGTGGTCCACACTACATAGGTGGGGGGGGGGGGGCGCTGAGGGCCAGAGGATGCAGTGTTTCCCAACCAGAGTGTTATTCTTTACAACCTAAGGTGTTTCCATCTCTTCCGTCTTCCCCAACTAAATACCAGTGGCGTTCCCCTCTCCCCTAGGCATAGTGACTAACTGGCTATCTGAATGGGGAAAGAATGCTCTCCTTGG